TTCCTCTGACTATTTTTAAAACAGGAACTCTTCAACTGAAACTGAAGCGATTTGAAAGGGACTTTGCAGGACGGGTTGGAAAAGTGACACATGATCAGAGTTCTGCAGGCAACCTGTTTGATCTCCAGATATAACTTTTACGTAATTAAAGAATTCTTCTGACTGGGCTTTCCTTGCCCAGAGATCAAAGTCAACGAACATGGATCATGCAAACTTCACGTTGAATTCAACCGCAGTACCAACCACAAAGGACGTCGGTAAGGGAGAATACGCTAAAGGAATAGGTCCAGATGACGCTACGTGGATTTTGACGAGCGCTTTCATCATTTTCACAATGCAGTCCGGATTCGGCCTTCTCGAATCCGGAATGGTCTCCAGAAATCATGAAGCAAACATCATGGTCAAAAACGCGATTGATGTGATCTACGGTGGATTGTCTTATTGGCTTTTTGGATTTGCACTCAGCTTCGGAATCAGCGAGCGTAAAAATCCATTTTTCGGCCTTGGATATTTTTTGACAGACGCTGAGGAAAGCGAAATGGGGCAGGTGTTTTCAAAGTACTTTTTTCAGCTCTCCTTCGCCACGACTGCGACCACCATTGTTTCTGGCGCGATGGCGGAAAGAGCAAGCTTAAAAGCCTACACACTTTACTCATTCTTAAACACCCTGACATACAGTATTCCTGCTCATTGGATCTGGGACGATAATGGTTGGCTTCGGAAAATGGGCGCCGTTGATGTTGCCGGATGCGGCGCGGTGCATTTAGTTGGCGGAGTGAGTGGTCTGGTGGCGACTTTAATGTTGAAGCCAAGAACTGGCAGATTCGATTCAAATTCTCCACCGAAACAAATGGCTTCTCCTACAAACGTTCTCCTGGGAACCTTCATGCTATGGTGGGGCTGGCTTGGGTTTAATTGTGGCAGCACATTTGGAATAAGCGGAATGAAGTGGAAGCTTACCTCCAGGTAAGAATGTTCTAGTATAAAATGGGCCTTATTAACGGCCAATTAAATCATTAAAGAAGTAATGCAAATTCAGAGACATTTATGCCGTTTGCCGTAAACGTCATAACACTCGCAGCTCGAAACTCGTTAATATAACAGAACACTCGCAACTCGTTAATATAACGTACAGCTCGGAATTGGGCTTGACTCGATCTTTAAGTCTTGTCTTTCGTGTAATTATGATCTTTTACCGAACTGGTGGTAAGTCATAGTGATGCAGTATTTTTTTTACCGATTCGAGTTGTAAAGTAACATTTACCTGTATAAGGATTGCCATTATACGATGTTTTTTCATCAAGGATTACTAAATCATTAGTAAAATCTGTCCATATATTATTTGCTCGTAGGTGTCTTATCGGCGCGTCATGCAGTAGACCAATTTTGATGTATTAAAATTCAGCCTAACACAATAGACATCAGCTCGAGTTTTTGGAGAATAACTACAGAGTTTGTGGGATTTATTCCCCACAGCCTCGTGCTGAGGTGTATTGTTTCAGGCTGAATTTTAATACATCGAAATTGGGTTATGTTAGCCTGCCAGGTTAGATCACGAACCAAAAGTAGGCGTGCGTTCGTAAAACGTTCATTAGTTCTTGCGCGTTTACTCCAGTAGTCGCAACCTTTTATAGTCGGCTCACACCGGGGGACATGTTGCGCGGACAAGAGGCGGGCACCTGTTGCAGCCGCAGTATCCCTCATGTGACGTCATGCGCGTGTTTTTACGAAGAAAGATTTGTTTCGTCCCCGCAACATGCTGCATGAAATTCAGCTGGTTTGAATACGTGGATCATGAAGCAGGGACAAAATGACCTCAGTTTTGAATGTCGCATGGTGTACACTGCTCTTGCAAACTGTCCCCACAACAACACACTTGTATGTCTCAATCCGCCTCGTGTGCACCAGTTTGAGTACCGTCCCTTCAACATGCGTAAAATGTGTACACACGAAGGGGCTTGTCACCGCCTTGCGTCCCTGCAACGTGTCTTCTAACCGGTGCGAACTTAATGCAATTTGTTAAACAGGGCAGCAGTTGTAACTATCAACGGCTCTATTGGAGGAGGGATACTGGGTATGATATACAGGTAGGCTGATACCAATCTGAATAGTTCTGTGGTCTAAGACTAATTTTTCAATCCAGCATAACTTGTATTGACTTTATTACAAGAAATACATTCCGTGATTGACTTCTTTGAGAATGACTCTTCATCACGAGGCTGACCACGTTCAGTTCCCTCAGTTCCC